ATTCCACTCCGTCCGAGTTTTGGGTAAACCCTGTTCCGCCCTCCACCAAATCAAATAAACCCTGGAAGACCAACACACAGACTGGAGTCTACGTGTCTCTTCTTCTCTGGAAACGTGAGTGGCAACAAACCCTCTCCTTCAAGATTAACAACTCCAATTCCCCACCGAGCCTGAATCTAACAGTCTGTCTTCCCCTCGTCTTTCAGTTTCCCGGCCGAGCAGAGTTCGGAGGAACTCTGCACCGAACTCTAAATACCTTTCAGTAAAACCTGTTCAAACTTTTACTCTGTGTCTCTCTGTTTGGCTTCACTGTGGGTCCGAGCTTTAGATAAAATCATGACAATAATGATAATAATTAAACACCAATTAGATTCAGTGCTATTCAACCTTGACTTCTTAGTCTTCAAAAGGGCTGTTTGAACCGCTCTTTCTCTGGCCTGGCATGTAGAGCCTGTTAGCCTTGTCAGACCCTACTGAAACCCCACCACCACGTTAAGGTGTCAGTTCAAGAGGGTTTATATTTTCACATTATATAAACAATATACAATGAGTATATATCCTGTTAAAAAACAAGTTAAAGACCCTGTTAAGGACCAAATTGTTGTTCTATATTTTCAACATGTAAAATCCCATCTCAAATAATTCCACTATAATATAATAAACCATATATTGCTGTCTCAAAGTTTCTTCCTTTCTCCTAATTTTCAAGCTTGTATCTAGGTGTCAAGTCCCCTACAGTTCACTCTTCAAAAATATCTGATTTATTTGCTAGAGTTGTAAAGAAAATTACTATAAGACTTTAAACTGTACCTGCTTTATTTTATGTAGGTATCTCTTTATGATCTGATCTAGGGATGTAGAAGAGGATAAGAAACTGCTTTAAATTAGCTTAAATAGGGCAAAATCAGCCTTATTTCAATAAAAACCTTACTCATTGGTAACCTTTACGAACTGCCAACATTTCTCATTCGAAACTTTGACTGCCTAAGTGAAACAGTAACGGAAACAGATTCATATCATCCAATCAAAAACTAGTCGTCTTCCGTTTTAGGGGAGAGCGGGTCAGCAGAAACACCCTGACCTTCTCCCCAGACGCCTCCTCCTTCCCCTCTGGGGGAAGCCTAATGCATTCCAGGATCACCTACAAACACTGATCTAAAATTAGTAGAAAATTCTTAAAATACGTAAATGCATTTGCTATTAATATGAGCTGATTAATAAGATGCTCTGCTATTGGAATGAGTATGTTAACCCATATAATCAGATATTGTAAATACGTTTTTTATTTTAAATGTAAATCATCTTATTCCATTAGCAAGTTGTCTCACCTACTTAAATCAGGGGAAATAGGAAAAATGAACTTCCTTCCTAATATTTCACTTTATGCTTCAAATGCAGACACATCTACACCGTCTGATTGCTGAAAATGTCACCAAGATAAAATAAGCATTTTATTATGGACAAATGTACAACTATCCTGACATAAAAAAAAAAAAAGAAATATTCCCAAAGAACATCCAGGTAGATGTTATAATCCAGAGCAAAAATACTGTCAAACAAAAAAATTTAAAAAGTCTCCAGTTACAGGGAGGATAAAGTGAGTGTGGGGAGATGACATGCATCTTCAGGGTGGACTGTGGTTCCTTCATCCAGTTTAATCCATGGTGACATGCTGGCAGGAAGTACTAACTCCACTCACTACATCTAGACTTAGAAATACAGATGCTAACATGCAGCCTGCATTGCTCTACATGTGCTCCAGATATCGAGTAAGAAGTGAAGGAAGTGGGAGCAGAGGAAGCAGCTTGATCCTGGTTGGCCCCATCATATCCCTGATCCGCAGACGACACAGCTGGCAGAGACTCCGGGGGGAACCTAGAGACAAACAGAGCAGGTTCCTCTAATCTGACCATCCAGGTTAAATTCAACTTAAAATCACTGCAGGCGTACCTTCAAATGCCACAAGGAGCTGGTGCGTCTCTCCACCAGGGGGGGCTAGATCTACAGGCCGCCGTCCGTTACCGTCTCTGAGCTTGGCTTCAGCTCCATGGTCCAGTAGAACCGACACCAGATCTGCACAGTCCTGTCTGGCTGCTGCATGCAGAGGGCTTTCACCTCCTCTGCCTGCATTAACACTGGCTCCTGTTCAGAACCAGACAAAGAAGGTCACAACAACAGCAACATTTATTTAACACAGGGCCTAACACTGATGACATTGTTTAAGTTAAGAAGAGGATTAGTCTGTTTTTAGGCTCTAAAAGTCTAACAGTGTGACATGATGGTTCCTGAACTAAGAAATCTAGAGAAGGTTTTTGTTTTTTGTTTTTTCGTACAGATGTACAGAAGATAGACAGAACCAGACAGTTATTAGTTTGGTTCTGACCCATAATCAGCCTTATTCAATATAGCAGCACTCTTTAGTGCCGCGGTTCTCAAAGTGTGTGGCGCGACCCACTGGTGGGGAATTGAGACGTGACAGGTGGGGCGCGCCAAGTTCCGGTGTGTGTGTGTGTGTGTGTGTGTGTGTGTGTGTGTGTGTGTGTGTGT